CACACACACACACACACACACACACACACACACACACACACACACACACACACACACACACACACACGCATATATATAGAATCGACATACGCGAGGAAGAAAGAAAGAGACGAGAAAGCCGATCGGCACAATCGAAAATTTCATTCTCGTCCTTTAAACAAAGCAAGCGTCTCGTCCTTGCCAGCGCCGGGTTTCGTCTTCGTGATCCGAAATCGACGACGGTCGACCGGCTACGGAACGGATCGCTTATTATTCCGATCAGTCATAATGACGGGCCTGTCGCCTTCTCTTCCTGCTTCCGCTTGGCGTCCATCACGCTTCAATTACAAACATCACGCGGCTGCCGTGCAGACGGAACTAATATGTCGCGATAGAGGTTTACGTATCCGGTGGTGTAATCAATCGCCGCGATCACGTCGATACGGGTGGGATCATTTGGCGATAACGCGAATGACGCGTATAATCGGTCGTAAAATCACAGGACATCCAGGTATTGTTTCTCAAGAACCTAAATTATCTGCTCGCTAATCGTGCTATGTCGAATATTCTTATGAATATTGTAAACTTTCTTCAATTTCTGCAATTATCGATTATACATTTGTGCAATTGCCGTCAGTCGTGCTTCGTTGTTATTCCTTTGGATTATTTATTTATCACAAGGAAAAATATTTTCAAAAAGATTAAATTCTTTCTTTATTTTCCAAAAAGATATTTCCAGAAAAAGACTAGGTTATATATATTTTTTCGTTTTTTATTTTTCACACACATACACACACATAAAGAAAAAAGATATTTTATAGACGTTTCCGTTATTATTCTTGTCCCTTTTGGTTTATTTATTTATTTTCCGAAAAACATTTCCAGAATAATTCGTATCTTTGTTTCTTTTTTTAATATTTCCAAAAAATCAGATTATACTTTTTATTAAAAAAGAAAAATATTTTATAGTTGTTCTCGTTGTTATTCTCATCACTTTTTTTGAATTTATTTATTTTCCGAAAAATTATTTTCAAAATTATCTTTCTTATTTTCCGGAATGACATTTTCAAAAAGATTATATTCTTTAAAAAGAAAAGATATTTTGTAAATATTTTTTTCGTTGTTATCATTTTTCATTTATTTATTTACTTCCTAAAGATATTTCCAGAAATATTGAAATGTGTTTTTTATGGTCAGAAAAATTTTCGCTCGACTTTCAGTCTTGAAAAACTCTTGCATGTAAAGATTGCATATAAAGGTCGTTTATTGAAAAAGAAAGAGAAAAATTCGAGAAATTCTCATTTATATCGCCGCGTGTTTTCATACATTTTTGGTTGTCCGCGGCGTGTCAATGAGTTGATCGATAAGCATGTGGAATGCGACGGATCAGCGGCAATGAAGATCGCGAAACAATCATTATCGGAAGAGAGCAAATAATAGTTATCGGAAGTCCTTCGCGGGTGGCGGAGTAGCACGTTGTTTTCGCATTTTTATCGCGGATTACATTAATCATGTTGATAGAATTTTTGTAAACAACCGTTCGCGCTTCTTCATCGCATTCCGATCGAGCGATTTGCAGACACGCGCGTGTCCTACGTACATTTTGCGCGACCAGTCATGGAATTTCCCAGCGAATTCCACGTATGCTCTCTCTCCTCGCTCTCCCCGTACCCCTCGTCTCGCGCTGTTCCATATTGCCCGGGCAATTCTCGCGGCAATAACGCTCGCGACAATAACCTGCCGTATCGAGAAATAAATTTCGCCGCGATATAATACACACCCACACATTCCTTGCATTAATACGTTGGTCTGGCTCGCACACGATCCCACGCCAAACTCTCCATTCCGCTTGATGTTTTTGCCATTAAGTGTACCATTATCACAAAATATATCTCATCAAATCATATGTTGACGTCTAAATATCATGTATAGTGCACTTATCGCAGCCAGATAAACTTTCATAATTGTCACGACGTGAGACAATCGATAATGGAGGCTCCACGATTCTTTTAATTACAGTTACGAAGTAAATACGTTGTATTGAATTAATCATTAAATGTACAATGGCGCTATTTTTTTTGTTACATTGACGTAGCTACAAATTAGTTAAAAGTTACACTCGGGTTTCCACTGCATTGCATTTTACACAGCATGTTGCCTCGAATAAATCTTGATCAATCTTTTCGTGTTTCGTCCTTCTATATAGTCAATGTGAGTGATGTGTAAACCACTCATAAAGGACGTTATCTTCATAAAACGATCAATACAGTAATTTATTACGTAACGTAAATTTTCGTACACCTATCTGTCTAGCAGATTATCATCCCGGACAAACTTTCGTGATTATCATGACATGAAACAGTTGATGAAATACAGAAAACTCTATAATTTTTTGAATTATATTTATAAGGCAAATATATTTTATCGAGTTAAATTTATATTTTTTATTAATTTATATACACAGAATACTAATACAATATTACCAAATTTACACCTGCACGAAAAAAATAATTTGCTGCAGCAGCAAACTAATTTGCTATATATGAACAGTTAAATATAATTCGCTGTGTTAGCTACTTTTTCTTTGCTGCAGGAACCTATCTTCTTACTATGATAATAAGAAAGTTTGCTTCTATAATACAAACAGTTCTATAATAAAAAAAGTTGCCAGAAATTTGATTTACGGGTCGTGCTAATTAAATACGCATTAACATTTAACACGCTAACTGCCATATTGAATTCACTCACAGAGAAAAATAATTTGCTGACCGAGCAAATTTTCTGCTGATCTAGCAAAATCTTTTCGTTATTATATGGACAGCAAAAAGATTTGCTAAGAATACTAATCATTATTTGCTAGATATAATTTGCTGAATCTACAAATTATTTTGCTTTAAGAACCATGATAGATTTATATAAGCAGTTGCAGTTTTGCTTCGATAGCAAATAAATTTGCTAAGGATACATTATTTTGCATTAATAGCAAATTAAATTCTTAGGACAAATACACTCAAAAAATTTTTTCTATCCTGGCAACGAAACTACTTCTGCTCTGATAACGTAATTTCTGCTCTGATAATAATTTATAAAATTAGTTACGTCAACTTAATTTTTTTGATGTCACTACGAATATGCAGTAGCAACAACGATTTTGTTAAAAGGGCAAAATTATTTTTCTCTGTGCTGAGAAAGTACTGAGAAAGAGACTTGAAAATTGATATATTTACGGGATATAAAGTCTCTTCACAAAGATAAACTTAATTTTGCAAGAATAAAGTTTATATCCCACAAATAAATTTGCAAATATTTCTTTTCTCAATATTGGTTCCACAAAGCCTAAATTTTTTCGTATATTACGTTCACGATACTTCGTCGCGCGCGTGTTCTCTACTCGATATTTCAAATACTTTGTAAAGTCATTTCCCTAATCGGGAAACCATCACCCGCGCACGAGCAGATACAAATTTCTCGCGAAATTCCCACAGAGACACCAACATTTTCGTGGATGACACGGCGCTCCAGTGTTGGATGCAATCCGCCGATCAAAATTTTCTTCGACTGAAATAATCGGCAAGTCAATTAGATCGAATCAATCCTCACGTGTATGATCGGATAATTCAACCGGTCGATGGAATTAATTATTCATCAGTGTACATACAATCAGTCGCAACATATCTCGATAATTAATTATAACGAAGTTGCGATCTGGTTCATATGATGATTGATTCATTTTGGTGATGGATTATTTCGGCCAGAGAAATTCCTAGTCGACTGACTTACTCAACGCTGTCCACGTGTTCATACCGAGTCCCCATCGGCCGTCAGCCGCGATCAACGACCCAAATTAATCAGCCCGAAGCGTTCTGCAGTATTCTTCGACACACTCTCGCATCAGTGTCAACATCCACGCGTGGGTTCGCCTATTCGATCGCGCCCCGCTGACCTCTGATTCGATTGACCTCTGCCGCCGTCGCGCCGATTGACGGTACGCGGCGGTAATCAGTCAGAACGTGGTCGGTCGTTAACTCTTCGCTAGATTTCCCATCATCTCGGAGCCTTTTCTCGCTCGACTCCACTCGGTCACTCGGTGCTCGTCGAAGGTGAAAAGTCTATCTGTCCCCTCCTATCGTGCCTCCTTCTCTCCCCCGGCTTCGCTCGTGACAGACTATGCCTTTCTCTTTCTTTCTCTCTCTCTCCTCTCCTCTGCTCCGCTCTCTCTCTCTTTCTTTCCTTATCTCCTCTCTCTTTCTCTCTCCACCGCGCTCTCTTCTGCAATCAGCTCGCCCCGTTACTCCAGGGCGCGTATCGCGCACGACGACGATGCCTCGTGGGATCGGCTCGCTCGGCCTGGCTCGGCGTCGTGACGTTGGAGCCGTGTTAGTGCGCCTCGAACGCTTTCTACGGAACGGAGCTTCTCCTCTGCCGTGTGCAATCTCCTCCACGTGCGTGACGCTGCGCGTCGTCACTCTCTTCCGCGAGTCTCTCTCTCTCTGTCTTTCTCTGTTTCTCTCTCTCTCTCTCTCTCTGTCTCACTCTTTTTTTCGAGCCGTCAGCGCCATTTTGGCGCACCGGAGAACGTGTGACCTCTCACCGCGAGCGGAATGCAAACCGTCGCGCGGATCGGAACCTGCGGCCGCTGCACCTGTCTCGTGGAAGTCCGTCGAGTCGGCGAAGCGCCATCCGCTGGGATTATCCTGAGTCTTTGCCGTGCTTCCACGGTCTTCGCCGGAAGCGAGTCGACCTGGGGGAGGATGCGACGAGGGTGGTGGTTTCGCGAGGGGCAGCTGTGAGGAAAGTGCGAGACGCGACCGTGTCGGTCGGTCTGGACGGCGGATTAGTTTGGAGGGTTAATTCGTGATCCTCGGAGTTCATTACGGAGTTGGCTCGTTTGATAAACTTGTTAGCGCGTCTGCTCTTAGAGCCTTCGAGTTCCAGCGCCGACGCCTCGGCTTGGCTTTAACGTTCCTCGTAGTGCTCGTCAGTTCGGGCCAAATTTTACCAGCGCGAATTTTGCCTCTCCCGTAAATCCAATCATCGAATTTCAAAAAAATCGAGCGTCTTTTGAGCCGATCTGACAGCGAGAACTCTCGTTAAATCGTAGAATCTCCAGTCCTCGTGGACTTGCGGATCTTCCCGCCTTTGGACTCGCGCGTCGCAAGATCACGCCTTCTCGATCTTCGATCCTCTGAAATCCCTGTAAATTCTCGCGTAAATCCTCGTGGTTAACAGCGGCTTTCTGAAAATTACTGCAAAGCCACGTCGTAATCTCGTCTTATCGAGTACTTATTGAACTCGAGCATCTACCAGCTCGAAAGAGTGGGGGGAATTGAAGAATGATAGACTAATCGATTGAACAAACGAACAAACGATTCGGCTTCCCAAAGAAACTCCCACAACGTCGCGACACTTACGAAGGAGCAGTAATAGTCATCATCGTCGTCATCGTCGCACAGTGCGATTTTCGCCGTTCACGATTTTCAGTGGACCATGTTGGAATTCTCCGTGCAGCATGCCGAAGTCGGTAGGTAGATACACACGCGACTTGCTCGATTCAATGCGCCGCGAACGCGTGCGCGGAATATCGGCAGGAAAGCGCTTTCTCGGACGCGATTTTGCAATCGCCTTTGCATTTGTTTTGCCTGTACGTTATTTTTTTCTCTCTCTCTTTCTGTCTCTTTTTCTCTCTCTTCGCCTCATGTCCTGCGCGGCGACTTGTTCTAGAAGAGCCTCGCGTTTCCTTTAGGTCGCCGCAAAATTAAACAGCGACGGAAATTGAAGCTGAGTAATTAATTAAATGAAAATGAAAAGCCGATTATCTCATACACACACACACACATATATATATAATCTTAAGATATTATATATAATAAAATCACAAACCGCGAAGTCTTCTCGCGACTTTATATGTCGTGTGTGCTTTTCTGTAAATAAATAAATATTTTTTCAGATATAAATGAAATTATCTGATTAATCGTAAAACTGCTCAATACGTTTTAAACGATCGCGAATAAGAGAGAAAGGGAGAGAGATCGAAGAAATGGCAAAGGCGCACGAGAAAATCGTCGTTCCGCCTTTCGTCGTCGTGTTTGAAAACGTCAGCTAATAATTAGCCTAATTACAGCGCGGAATTCTGCGAACGCGTCAGCGCGTTGCGCGCCCTTTCGGATGTCACGCTTACACAATACCGACAATGAATGCACGTGCGTGCGCTTCCAATGGGGATTCTCAATTGAATGATCGCGACGTTATCTCGTTAACTGTAATTGACTTCATTACGAAGGCTCTGCCTTCGATATAGCCTGCCTACATTTTCTAGAATGCTCCGCCGGAGTTTGCACGATCGTTTGTGCGAGCCCCGCAACGCAGATTTTCTTGGAGATTTCGGCAAAAATTAGGTTACAAATAAATCTACCCAAAAGTTACACTCCAATTTCTTTCTAATTTGCTACAAATGTAGAAGTACAAAAAATATTTAGGTCATATTTTTTCATTTTGACCCCCTGAGTTTCACAGACATATAGGTGATTTTGGTTTGCTGATTATGAATATGAAGTCAAATATGTAAAATTATTTGTATAAATAATAAAATGTTTATATTAATAAAATTATAAACAAAATTAAATGTAATAAAATTACATTAATAAAATTATAAATAAAGTTTAAATAAAATTATTTGTATAAATAATAAAATGTTTACACAAAACATGTAAAAATTGAAAATATTATTTATACAAATAATTTCTCAGTTTGGCCGAGATTCGAACCATTTTTTATTAATTTAGTACAGATTTGAAATATTTCGGTTAGAGTCTCTGCTAGAGAAATTTAGAATGGTTCGTGTCTCAGTTATGCCAATTTGGTTAAAATTATTTAACTATATCTTGTATTCAATTTTATTTCTTATGCATTTTTGTTGTACTTGATGATAGGAGTAAAAACATTAAAAAGCTATAAACTGCCCATGAAACTCAAAGTGGGCCAAAATGAAAAAATATGATTTAAATATTTTTTATACTTCTACATTTGTGCTAAATTAGAAAGAAATCGGAGAGTAACTTTTGGGTAGGTTTACTTGTGAGATCCTACGAAATTCTTTCAAAAACGCAACGCGAAATATCCCTTTTATGTCTTGACTTGAAACTTTGATTTAGCAGATACAATTACATATCATATATAATACGTTAATATTGAAAGTAAGATACAATGAAAAAAAGGTTGATTCAATCAACGTAACAGAGTGACACATTTAGACTTTCAACTTTTGGTTGAAGGAAGTAGAATTTCTGATTTTTGAGAACCGTATTTGATTCAGGAAAGAAACAGAATTTTTGGATTTTAAGAATTGTATTTGATTCATAAAAGAAACAAAATTTCTGGTTCTTGGAACCGACTTTGATACAGAAAGAAAACCGAATTTTTGGATCTCAAAAACTGAATTTCGATTTATGAAGGAAACAAAACAAAATTTCTAGTTTCTTAGGCCTGAGCTTTATTTAGGAGAGAAACAGAATTTCCGGTTCCCTAAATCGAATTTCAACTAATCTTTTTCTTGCGTGTATGGTTTGCCCTTGATAAAAAAAGAAATTAATGACAATCGAAGGATATCAACGTGCCTACGAATCTCGAGATCTCTCATGTCGAGTTGTTTCGCCAAGTAACGCGGCGACAATGCACCGCGAAGTACACGTCACACTCACAATACACGCGTGTCACAGTTTAAAATACTCTCTCACGTCTGCTCTCGCCGTTACGACGTATAATTATCGCGAGTTGGAAAATCAGTCGCGTAATGAGAAACACTATCCTCTGTCCGGGAGCGCTTCCATCTAGAAAATTAGAATCTAGCTTCTAACATTCCATCTCCGTATGAAGACGACAAAAAAGCAATCTTGTCCACAGACTTGATTGCTTGCATCACACGAAAGACAAGTAACCGAGAGCTTTCTACTCGCGGGATAAAGTTGCGTCTAAACTTCGCAATATTGTACTGTTCATGTAAGGAGAAAACAGATTCGTTATATTAACATGGTAATAATGTAATTCAATACGTTTTGGTTGAAACAAACAGAACTTCGGGTTCTTATAAATCTGAGAAAGGAAAAATTTGTTTCCTTCTTACTCCAAATTCGATTCTTAAGAACCAGAAATTCTGCTTCTTTCCTGAACCTAATTCCGGAGTTCTAAGAACTAAAAATTTTATTTTCCTTCCTGCACTATTATAAATCTATAGTGTCAAATTATACTCAATTTGAGTTATTTTTAACCATTCCTGTAAGTCGCCACTGCTTCTACTAAATATGTTGTTAATTTAACTAATATAATGGAGTTAAATAATTTAACTTAAGAAATGTATTAAATTTGACTAAAATTTAGTTTATTTTTTATTATGTGCACGTTAATGTAACCTTTGTTTTAGTAAAAAAGACTTAATATTGTTTTAAATGGGTTGATTAGATGTGGTTGTTTTTTTAAACATATGTTTTATGTTAAAATAGTAAATTTTGACACACATGATAGTTAAAAATAACTAAATATTATTTAACTCAAGAAATTGGTTTAAATTTGACCCTCCAATATTTAACAGTGTGAATTAAATTTAGATCTAAGGATTAGAAATTTTGTCTTTTTCCAAATTCGGTCCTAAGGATCAGAAATTCTGTTTCCTTCCTCAATTAAATTCGTTTCTAAGAATCAGAAATTATTTCCTTCTTGAAAATTCAGTTCTTAAGAACTAGAAATCCTCTTTCTTTTCAAATCAAAATTCGATTCTTAAGAAATTCTGTTTCTTTCAACCAAAATGCTTAATTAATTGTATCATTGTCACGTTAATTCAACCAATCTTTCTTCTCCGTATAAGACTAAGTGCTCGCCCACTCCATTCTTTCTCGCACAAGGGGAAGCGAAGAGGAGAAACGAAGATTGCTGCGTATTATCAGCCGCCCCCGCGGATTAATCGCCGCTCGGACGAGCTGTCGATCGCGAGCGCGGATGTGATCGAACTCGGCACACGCGGTGTTCTTGAATCGAAATGCGACGGCTGGTTCAAGGATCGTCTCGATCGGAGCGATGAGATGTCCTCAATGAATCGAGGCGTGAGCCACGCGTTTCCTCAAGGCGAGCCTCTCTTTATTGCCTACATCCGGACAATCCGTAACTCCGCGTTGCTCGAGCGCGCTTTTGTCTCTCTCCCTTCATTCGCAGCCCTCTTTCGTAGCAGCCCTTGTGAGCAAAAATCCCCGTCGACTAGATTGTTTTCGCAATGTGCGATTTAAGGTTCTACATTTCTATTAACTACTTCTATTAACTATTATTACGAAGATAATTATAACAAAGGATTAATATTATTTGTGATTCACACTTTTTTGGGAATTTTATAAATTATAGGTCATATCGCGACATGAGTCGATTTTCCATCGATGCATTCGCGCGGAAAGCAATGGCGACAAAGCACATTACTCGAAAATAATAGACATGCGCGCGCGCGCACGTTCGTGCCTTTCGATTCGTCTAATGCCACGTACGTGCAGCAAGGTCGCAGCTGAAAAGCACGGCCGAGGAGCCGTACCACGCGAATTTCATAATCGCGAGACGCGACGACGTAGCACGCGACGATTTGTCGCGCGAGAAAGAAACCTGAAGGAAAAATGACCGTCTGGCGACGCGAACAAAGCGCGTCTCCGTCGAGGAGCGCCCATTTCCACGAGATCGCGACGCTTTCCAACCGGTCAAATTGTCCCAACTCGCGAGTGTTCAAACACGCCGGGGAGATACTTTGAACTTTGAGACACTCGGGCGCTATTACCCTGAATTACCCTGCAGATTTCTCTCGTGTGGAAAAGCGAGTCCTGGCGAGAATCCTGGGAATGTGACTCAAGGACTGGCACTAGCCGTTGGTGCTGCATATGTAATTTTGCGCTTATGCCTTCTCCGAGAATTGCGAAACTCTCTCTCCCTCTCCCTCTCTCTTCTCCTTTTTCGCTCTTTCCGTCCCTCTGTCTGCGTCTCCTTTTCTTCCCCCTCTCTCTCTTTTCTTGCGAGTTTCTTGTTCGAGAGACTGCATTTTCTCTCCTATCACGAGCTCTCGTCTATCAGTCGACGTCCATAAATGCCGATCGTCGATCTCCCGGCTGTCGATCGGCGTCCAAGAATCCTGCACGCGCGAATGCGCGATGATCCGACGTCGCGTGTGCCGGATTTCCATGGGAATCCAGAACAATGTGTCAATTACGTGACGACGGTGCGAAGTGTCTCCCCCGCATTCCGACCGATATACGTTATTAAGATTCGTATCGAAGCATTCCACTATTTTCAATATAAGTATGCGATGTATAGAGTGTCTCTGAGCGTCTCGTGTACTTCTCGTGTGGATTAGGTCAAACTGACCACGATATTCCCCCACCATCTCGCGAACGAGCATGTAAAATTTGGTGTTATTAATCAGAGAAAATTGGTCACGCGCGATAATAACGACAGATGAGTTGTGATAGAGACACTCAAAAAGATGTTTTGCTGCTCCAGGTA